TTGGTTTCCTCAACGTGCTTCACTACGTATTAATTATAACTGCAATTTCAACAATAACCCATTTTAAGATAAATAAAATATATTTCTATAACAACAATCAACATTTATTAATCTATCGAGAAATTTAATTTCTATACGAAAGGTCACAAGTAAATTAAAAGAATATTACTATAAAATTTACAAAAAAATAGAGGATAAAAAAAAAAGACTTATCATGATAAGTAAAATAAGTATTTAAACCCTTTTTCTTTGAGTTTTATTGATCAGCCACAACCCCCACGAAGAAATACTCACTTCACAGGTTATCCTCTAGTAATAAATAGTGGCTTATAACGAAGGAGAACGATCCGTTTCGTTTAAACTACAAACTTCTTCTGTTGTTACTCTTTATTTATCGACAAATGACTCGCATAAAATTATCGCACCAACAGAGGGCGTTTGTGCATGTGACGTAATAACAGCCAAGACCAATACTATCTAACGTTTTAAACCGTTATTTGACAAAAGTCTATTTTTGTGTGTGTCCGCTTATGATTGACAAATCGCCACATCGATTGTCACCAAACTGACAGTACCCTTATCGACTTCCCCCTAGACAGTGACATAAGAGAGACGACGTTTGCGACTCCCTCCCCACCCCCTTGTATCCCCCGGGGCTCCCTGTGTATTTCTCATGTGTTGAACAGGTATGCCAATCGTGGTCTAAAACCGTCGATGGTTGAAATAGCGAATTATTGGCTGTTTATCATGGTAGAAAATGACCGTTAAACCTTGAAGTTGTTTGTTTGTTTACTATCCTCATCACTCAGTATTAGACAGTCATCAATTGGTAGGCTTAGTAAGCTGGTAAAGCAATATGCTCGGTTAAAGTAAACCATATTGAACTATTAACAACGGGCTATTAGTATTAGAAAACAATGAAATGTAAAGTACGTCTATATATTTTCAGTGTTGAATCTAGAGGGAGGATGAATTCGACAAAATGGAAAATATTGTACTTTAATTAAAATACTCGACTCCACAAATTTATAATAATATATCATAAATTATATTTAAATATCATAACCAATAATAATAAAATATATTATTGTACATTTGTGGAGTCGTGTATTTTAATTAAAGTACAGTATTTTCTATTTAAATTTAAATCTAATGTACTTAAATGCAATGTTTACGAATTTGCAAAAAAAGAAAAAACTACCGAAAATACGTTCAGGCGGTTTACTGTAGTTACTTTTAGAGAAAACGAACGCGTCCTGGTTTTTCTTTGCATATAAGTCGATAAACCTTGACAACAAGGTGACTGAAAATACATTAGGCCCGTCTATGCTAATCTTCATGCAGCTTTGAAGCTTGTCTTGTCCCATCCCGTTTCTAAGCTTATCTAAAATACGATTCGTGTCGCTGAAAGAACGCACCACCGTCAGACATTCAGATAATGTTTGTAAGATTAGCGTAACCGATGTTTACTTTCCACAACAACACTTTTATCTTAATCTTTCTGCTCCCTTGCAAGGTACTTGAAGAAGCTTAAGTCAGCCCACGTGACATCATCCAGTCCACTTGGAAGAAAGCACATACGTTGGATGAGGGAGACAGCTTGATCATTGAATTGGTGCACCATTTGTTCAATCATAGTGTCAACTTCAAGCCTTCGGTTTGAGATCCATTACAATTATAGCAATAGAGTTTTCTTTACTGAAATAGACACACTGACTCCATATACCTCTCAAATGTGCTATCGTTGACGTCACAAGCCGACGAAATGACGACAGGTTTAGGTTTTCTTTTTTCAAAACTTTGCTGACATTAGATACTGCACATAAAGCCTCATCCAAAACCGTTAGGGTAACAAGAAACTAGATTTCTCCATTTCCAGCAAGATACCACCTGCTAACGATGGTAGATCTGCACCATCTTTGTTTAGGCCATCATAATTGAACAGTAACAAGTTAGGACGACATGAACAGATTTGTAATCCCTGAGCCAGTGCACTTCGACTGATTCCAATGACCTCTGAACCTCGTGCAACACGCGTTCGCGCTTTGATGACTTGTGGAATAGTGAACATATGTCTTTGATGTGAAGAACCATCTTCACAGACACGATTTTATTTCTAGTGCTGGTTAAGGCTAAAGATAAAAGGTGGTGCTTATACAATCTATCTCTAATTCTGGATTCTTTGATACAAGCCCCTCCATTTCGCGATACATATTGGGCTAGCTGTCGAGGTAAAACACGCCATTCCCCGAGAAGTCACCAGAATTTTTCGTTATTCCGTTTGTATAATCGTTGGGTCCAGGATTTGGATTAAACGATAATAAATCATGACTCGTATGTTACAACTTTCATTGGGTTGTTAATGTCTCTCTTTTTAAAAAAAATAATATAGTTAAAATAGTTTCCTGCTTGCCCGGTTGCTTAGTTTGGAAGCTTGTTTGTTTGTTTTGAATTTCGCGCAAAGCTACACGAGAGCTATCTGCGCTATCCGTTTCTAATTTAGCAGTGTAAGACTAGAGGGAAGGCAGCTAGTCATCACCACCCATCGCCAACTCTTATACCATCGAATAGTGGGATTGACCGACACATTAAAACGCCCCCACGGCTGAAAGGGCGAGCATGTTTTGGTGGGACGTGGATTCGAACCCGCGCCCCTCAGATTGCGAGTCGAGCGCCCTAACCTCCAGGCCATAGTTTGGAAGAGTGGCCTGATCTGG